GTTCGTCGGGGGGGGGGGATAGTTCCAGAGGGCGGGGGCAATGCAGAGAAGGCTCTCCTCCTGGGCCCCCCCAGCAGATATTCTCTTGCTGACGGGGTCCGTAACATGCCCTCTGTGCCTGACTGGGTGGGAAGGGACAATGTGATGGGGATGAGGCAGTCCCTCAGCTAACCTGGACCCATGCCATGTTCCCACAGCAAAGGTGTTACATGTGCCATCTTTGAGGCACCCAAGATTGTCCGCGTGGCCACATTTTGAACCAGCTGTAGCTTCCAGATACTCTTCAAGGGTAGCCCTATGCAGAGTGCATTGTGATAGTCTAACCGAGAGATGACCAGGGTATCAGTGACTGACAAGAGAGCCTCTTGATCCAGGAAAGGGCATAACTGGCACACCATGCAAAGTTAAGCAAAGGCTCTCTTGGCCATGACTGCCGCCTGCTCTTTGAGCAGGAGTCGTGACTCCAGGAGGACCCCCAGATTACCCACTGGGTTAATCACATTCATTAATTTACATTACATTCATACATTCCATTCATTTTGTATTCACGCAACAATCCAGATTTCACCAGTTCATACTTTCCAATATATGTTTAATACTTTTATTCAAAATTAAACCATCATCCTCACTTCTCTGCATGCCTTCATCAACTCCACCCCATGAAATCTGAACACCTGCAGTTATATCTTTCCCTTTTCTTTTAGTTTCAAAGACCTACAGCTTTATCTGTTTTTCTGTTATTAATTTTCTTTATTAATTCATGTTTTTTACCATGAATAAACACCAGTCTTCCAAATATCCTGTTTGTCTCCTGATGGGCTCACAGATAATGACCTCTGCTGCCCATCATGGGTTTGATCATCTGAGGCTTTTCACTTAACACTTTCTTAGTAAGATAGAAAGAACCTCATAGTACCTTTTAAACCTAGCACATATTATTAAAAGGCATATGTTTTCATAAGCTGCAGCTCATGAGAACTTACGCCTTTTAATAAAATGTGCTAGGCTAAAAAGATGCTGGCTGGGGTATTCTGGGAGTTGCAGTCCACACATCTTCAAGCTGCCAAGGTTAAGAAAGACTGGACTAATTTATGAAACGAGTGTGGTGCTTCAGTCAAAAACTCTAAGCGGCTTTCAACTAGTACAGTGAAACTTGCATAATAAAGTAATAACCAGTAATCACCCAACCAATAAATCAGTTAGATGTCTCCAAAAAATAGTAACCATTAACACAATGATTCTTTGCTGCCTTTGAGTCATTATTGACTCTTGATGACTGCCTGGACAAGGCCCTGCAGTTTTCTTGGCAACATTTTCAGAAGTGGTTTGCCCTGGCCTCCTCCCTAGGGCTGACAGAGAGGGACTAGCCCAAGGTCACCCAGCTGGCTTCATGCCTAAGGTGGGACTAGAACCCACGGAGACCCAGTTTCTAGCCTGGTGCCTTTAATCACTACACCAAGCCAACTCTCATAATTTCTTTAATCCATTTCTGCCTTACCCACCCCAAGTAAATGCCTTCTCTTCATGCCGTCCATCCATTCTCCAGTCTGGTACCCTTTAAGTTGTTGTCATGGCCCTTTGAGTCAACCCTGACTCCTGGTGACCATGTAGACCAATCCATCCAGTTTTCTAGACATCATTTTCGAAAATGGTTTGCCCTTGCCTCCTTCCTAGGGCAGAGAGAGAGGGACTGGCCCAAAGTCACCAACTGGCTTTGTCCCTAACTCATAGACTCCCAGTCCGTAGGCCAGTGCTTTAACCACTACACCAAACTGGCTCTCAGCGCAATGACATTGAAGTCATAAAAATAATAATAACAACATTATGCTGGCATTCTGCTCTGTGAGTTATTAGTGGTGGAATATTGGCATAATTATTTTCAGACCTAATTTTTCTTGACATGTTTTTATTTGAAAAACCAGGTCAAAGCAATATCGAGAAAGTCCTCGTGGCAAACCGAGGAGAGATTGCTTGCAGGGTGATGCGGACTGCCCGGAAGATGGGGGTGAAGTCGGTGGCAGTTTACAGCGAGGCTGATCGGAATTCAATGCACGTAGCCATGGTAAAGCCCATCAGTTGACACTCCTAGAGGCTGATCGTAAAGCAGTTGTGGAGCCAAATAATTTTGAACAAATACTAATCACATTCAGTGGTATTGTGGTTGGCTTAGATTTAGCAGAATATGTAAACCTAGCCACGGTGGTTTGTACAGTGTTTAGATGACAACCAAGCCAGGCTTAAAAATAGTCATGACTTAGCTTAATGAACTAAATCAGGATTTTAGCCAAGTCCTATCTACTCTAGCAGTTTTATACTACAAGGTCTTTAGTCTGGATTATTCTAGCAATAAGGTTGGTAATTTTTCTTTTTTTACTTAAGATGCAAACATTTCAGCACAGAACCTCATCCTAGCTAAGTGTGTCCTGTGTCGTGGAGTGAAATATATTTTCCTCATGGGACAGGTTTTTTTTTTTTAATTAATGCAACAGTTTCCTTGTTTAAGCTTCCTGATTTTGTAAATGAAAATTATGGAACACCTAAACAGAAAGAACTAGAAAAAGATTGTGTTACTTAATCTACAGGCTAATGCAGTGTTTTTCAACCTTGGCAACTTTAAGATGTGTGGACTTCGGCGCCCAGAATTTTGGAGTTGAAGTCCACACATCTTAAAGTTGCCACGGGTGAAAAACACTGGGCTAATGTTTAATCACATCTCAGGTCCAAATAAAGCACCGTGTGTGTAATCAGCATTCAAATGTTAATGCTAAACTTCATTCCTATGCCCAGGGGTGTCTTTAGGGGGTGGTCAAGAAAGTCAAGATGGTGGCCGTGAGTGAGCATTGGAAGCCCTGCCCCCCCTTTTTTTACCAGTGTTGCAACACACATTATAAAGGGGTGGGGCTTCAATAGCATGGTTGCAGCTGCCATCTCGATTTTTATTAAACTTGGTGGAACTACTTTCTAACTAATGCAGCTCGACCCCTCTGCTGCCTGAGGTTGTACTTCAGAGATGCATCAAAATATTGTAGAAAATTTAATCTGAAATGTAACCCAATAATAAAACGACGGCATTTTCTTGCAGGCAGATGAAGCTTATTGGATTGGCCCAGCACCATCTCAGCAGAGCTACCTCTCCATGGAAAAAATAATGCAAGTGGCCAAAAAGTCCGCAGCACAGGTACAGATTCTGCCTCGTATCAGCTCTAATTTTTACTTAAAATTGGGTTACTGTAGCATAACACAGATTCTGTGTGTAGGTGACTAAGATCACATATTGCAGGCTTTGGTATTCTGATTGGAGCAGTTTAGCTTTAATCAGCTATTCTGGTATTTTAAATAGTCTCATTTCCTATAAAGTTGTATAAATATTCTCCTAAAGACTCAGCTCTCTCTGTGGTTAAACTCTGCCCTCATATGCCAGCTACTTGTAGAGGTTCAGCCATTCTAACAATATGTCACTATGCTATTATTTCACAGGTCTTTTAAGTGCAACAGGGAGATAGTGCCTGGATGGCTTTGCAGATCACTCTCATAGCAATTGCTCTGATTTTTTTGCTGGTCACGTACAGCGAACAACAGTGTTAATTGCAAGGTGGGGGGTATGGGCACTGACTAATCTTTGCATTCTCCTTTTGGTCAGCTGAAGAGAGCACTGATTGGTTCACAGTGTTCTGAGGTCAGTGGCAATGGAAAAGATTCAATCTGCTTTTGAGAGTTTGGGGATCAGAAACAGCAGTGTGGAAGTTTCTGTATTTTGGAGGTCTGATGCAGCTTCTGCAGACCCCTAGAGCAACTCAGCAGAAGCATCACAAAGCCTTGGAGCCTCTCACAATATGCCCTTGATATTTCCTATTTTAGGCTATCCATCCAGGCTATGGCTTCCTGTCCGAAAACACAGAGTTTGCTGAACTCTGTAACCAAGAAGGGATCATTTTCATAGGTCCTCCTTCATCTGCTATCAGAGATATGGGCATTAAGAGGTATTCTGTGTTATTACATGGCTAAATTTATTATGAAGAGGTTGTTTGTTGGAATTGCTAGGTTGTTTTTTGTATCTGACTTGGGCTGCCCTCTCTTACATATGCAGTGAATTAACCTGTGATCCTTTAATGTGTCTGAGAATTACACTCTCAGAAGAAATAGTCTCAGCATAGAGTGCACAAATGGAATAGAACCTTCAGTCTAATTTCATGTGACCCTTTATCTAATTTAATGGAGGTGGAGGAACCCAGACATGTGAATCAGAGGAGAAAAGGGAAGGAATCTAGATGTAATCATGGCTGATCAATCATGTGCCATCAGGGTTGACTCTTAGTGAACACTTAGATAGATTTTCTCCATGATCAGTGATGGTAGGAGAGGGTAAGTTCTTTACAGTATCTGCAAAGGTTGAGGTGGGATTCCAGAATGGGATAGATGGAGTGGTATGAAAATAGAGGTCCAGGGATGCAGTGGGAGAATGAAAGAGGGACAGGGAGAGAGAGAGAGACCACTTTTAGCTCTAGTCTCACCATCCCACTATGCAGACTTGCTGACTTAGAGAGTATCCCAAGAGAACACAGCCCTTAACTAGAAAAGATATCCACTCAAACACAAGATTGGCATCATATTGGATAGACCGATGTGTAAATTTCCCAGTTTTTGAATTTATCCCTTGTAAAACCCAGAGAGGGGGAATTAAAGCGCAGCCACAATTTTTCTTTGGGGAAATGCCTTCCATGTAGCAAAATACACTAAAACCTGGATCAGAAAAATCTCATGTTAATTGGATAGTGTATTTTTTCTTTTTTATTGCACTTAAAAAAAAAACATAGAAAACGCTATATAAAAAAAATTTAAAAGACAATATCCACTCATTTAATTCGTTTTTAAGTTATAATACCAAAACAGACAAGACATCCAAAAAACCTGCTGAGAATTAACAGGCTAAATTGGTATAAATCATCTAAATTGATCACATATAGAGTTAATAGCAATATATCAAATTATGCAGTAGCATTTGTCTAATCTTGTAAAATACTATGAAATCTATGCCCAAGGGAAACATGTTGCGTTTTTTAATTAGGAGAAAAAAACAGCCTTGTCAAAAATGTACATGTTACATGTTTCTTGAATTGATGATATACTATGTGGATGCATTGTAGGAAAACTAGAACTCTTGGCCTAAACATGGAACATGGGTTTCTTTCTAAAAAAGGAAATTGTATCAATTGAAAGAGAGGTGGATTGTGGGAGTGGAAGGCTTTCTTGCAGAGGTCCTTCTGTCACGGACACTGAAAATGAAAGAATGTTCTTTGAAGCACTTCCAAGGCCATCATGTCTGCGGCTGGAGTTCCTGTGGTGGAAGGTTATCATGGGGAAGATCAATCTGACGGGTGCTTGGAAGAGCAAGCCAGGAGGATCGGCTACCCAGTTATGATCAAAGCTGTTCGTGGAGGTGGAGGAAAGGTAGCGTCAGTTCGATGGCATCTCTTCAATTAGTTCACCATTTGTTGCACCATAAAGATCTGCTTAGGATGTAATTTGGAAAGAAGCCGATCAAGTGGTGGTTGTGATTGTGGTTTTGGCCGCTGCAGGGGGTGGTTGTTGATGGAGTTTTGCATTGGGGATTTTACTTTGTAAGCTATCTGGAGTCATTGTGTGTGAGTTGGGCGGCCATATAAATTAATTAGATAAATAAATAATTTCCCATCACTGGGCTAGTGCAGCAGTTAGTCTGTGCACTCATCGTACGTTCATACCCTAGCTAGATTCACTCACCACAGTAAACCATGGTTAAATAAGTAAATTTGTTGAATAAGCCACAGTTGGATAGGCAATCACAACATGTAATTTATTTGGTTAACATGATGCTAATCCAAAACTGATTTATGGGTTCCTGTTGCGTGTGAACCTAGTGTGGATTTTTATGAAGCAGCACACCCATCTACAGCAGGGAAGTATCAGTAAGCTTGGGGGAACAAAGTTGTAGACTGCAAAGTTGCATTGCTGTGTGTCACCTGTTTTTTATTTTTATTTGTGTTGCCATCGGATCTTTAATAAGTTCAGAATGCAAAAGATTATTTGATTTTACACAGTCTTATCTCAGGTACCCTCTGATAATGTTACATAACTTTTAATAGGGTTTTTATAAAGGTACCACATCAATCCTTTTTTTATAGCTACCAGGAATATATAACTTATGCATGTATTCTCCATGATATATTTGGAAATCACAAATTTAAGCTAGTAATTGTGCAAATGAGGTGCCTCTATTATCAATTAATATAATAGAAAATATTTCTTACTGCTTTTTTCAAAGTAATGTATTTACTTCTTTTGCTAACAGTTTTATCACTTATTTCTCCTAGGGAATGAGAATAGCATTTACTGAAAAAGAATTTCGGGAGCAATTGGAATCAGCTCGAAGAGAAGCAAAGAAGTCCTTCAACGATGATGCCATGTTGATAGAGAAGTTTGTGGACAATCCAAGGTAACACAATAATTTGTTGAGTGTCCCTTTATAACCCCCTTTAGTAGCTCCACTACTTTAAGGCAGGAAGTACACTGTAGAGGAGCACAAAATGGCCTTGAAGAAAATATGCAGCAACAGTTTATAAAACATAAGCTTATGTCAGCCTTACAAGGTAGACCAGACAGGAAACACGACCAGATGAGCTAATTCTACTTTATTGTAAGGTTGCTTTAACAGAATCTTGCAAGTCTGAAAGTACTTCTCTCCCCCATCCCCTTTATAGCCCAAAAACTAGGGAGGGTCTCTTCTGAGCTCTTGCCCCGCCTACATTCTTGCTGTAGACTAAGCTGCCTGATATCTGACTGTTCCTTTGGTTGCGTCTCATTGTCCTGTCTCCCAAGGTCATTCCCAGATACCATTACAGCTTACCCCTGTAAAACAGGAAAGCATGAGAAAGAAACTCAAGATTGCCTGCCTTGATTTTCTTTTGTGTAAGAGGGAGGGAAAAGGAAATGCCATTGGGCTTTCAAGATTCCATTATTATAGCCAATATTCATAAAATAGAGTTCTAGCTTCTTTTTGTGCCTATTTCCTGATCTGGCTTTCCTTGAAGGGCTGACATACACAGAAATCATGAAGTGAGCCATAAAACAAATGAAGACAGTTGGAAAAAAAATGAAAAAATTGTCCCCCAGCCTTTCATCCAAAAAGTAAACAAACTGGAAAATCCCAGTCCTGCCACATTTGAGGCATGGATTCCTCCCCTTCTCCCATAATATATCTACTGCTGTATTAAATACAGATCAGAGAAGTGAATATACTTCATTTCTAGATCTAAAAAAATTAAAGTACACGCCCTCAAGTATCTGATTGATTTTGCTAATCATGTTAAAGATTCAAAAAATACCATTTGGGATTAAGAGTGTTTCGTTTCAAAAATAAGCATTGGTAGACAGTATTATAGCCTGCGCTTAACAATTTTAAAATATGAAACAGGCATGTAGAAGTTCAAGTATTTGGAGACCAGCATGGCAATGCAGTCTATTTGTTTGAAAGAGACTGTAGTGTACAGAGAAGACATCAAAAAATTATTGAGGAAGCTCCAGGGGTAAGTGGACAGCTTTTGAAAGATAATTCAAATAGCCATGTTTCTTCTGTTTACTGTGTTAGTATAATTTTTGTTTTTATGCTTGCTGTTAAGGCAGTCTCAGTATACTATTTTTGCAGAGAACAATATCTTCTTCAAGGTCCCAAAACTCCCAAAGCACATTAACATGGAATTCTTTTCTACCACATTGAACAGAGTGCAACTTCCTTACAATGTGATATAGATATAGCTATCCTTCCTTTCTTCTAAGCATAGAAGGAATGTTTTTTCCTAGAAAGTTCTTTTTAGTTTTGTTTTCTGTCTCATATGTTCCTAAAATGCATTTAAATGCTTGTGATGTCTCAGCAGCTTGGATAGGGCTATGATGCCCATTAATTGCAACCCCCTTTGTATTTTGAACGTTTTGCATATGTTAAGTTTTCTGTCAATATATTTCAGTTAAAAGAATTTAGTATTTCTCTTTCCAGAATGTTGGGTTTGATGAAGTTGGGTGTAAATGGACATATAAGCCAAGAATTGTGTTTAAGAAATAAGGAAGAACTTTTATATCAGTTTTCCAATGTGAATCATAATTGCAGTCAGCAAAAATGCAAGGGCGTCCTGCTGCATCAGGTGAACATAACATTATTGCTGTCATTGTTAGCCAGGAATTCAGCCAGATGTGAGAAGAAAACTTGGAGAGGCAGCTGTTAGAGCAGCTAAAGCTGTGAACTACGTTGGAGCAGGTATTTGCAAGCTCAACTTGTTTTAGTGCTAAATTCTGGGAAAGATATTTATCCTTGTTATCCTTTCCAACTCAACTGGAGGTTGGAAAGAAATTATGTAAAGGGACTTGGGACTCTTCCTATCCATCAGTAGGTTAACTCCCTGACAACTGAACAGGAGAGGACCATATTGGGTATGGGGGGAAGAGAAGCCAGCAAAAGAAAGCTGAAGTTAAAAAGTGAGCCAGTTTTGGCTGGGGGCTACCAAGAAAAAAACATTTCAGGAGAAATTTCCCCAATGCATCCCCAGCAGGAGAAATGGCCCATGCCTCAGAATGCTGTCCGGTGATCCATTCTAAGCCTCCACCCACCGCCTCCTGGTCATGTGACCCTGAGTGGACCTACTATTAAGAGTTGGAGAGAATTCTAAAAGTCGGTCTCTCTAGGTTTCTCCTACCTCGTTTGCATTTTGGAGAATTCAGATCAAAATCTGTTGCAACAAACCACAACAGAGCCTAATAGTTTTAAAGGCTTCTTTTGAAAGAGAGGCATGTTAATTACCTGAATACTTTTGCTTTCTGAAGGATTTTCCCATTTATACATATATATATATATATAAATAATTTTTAAACTATGATTTTGATTTATGATGCTGGCCTTAGTTCGTGAATCTCAGGGACAATAAAGCTATACTGGGATTGGATTTATTTGTGGTTTTACTATTCTGACCTCTGAATGTTACGCTTTCCTTAAATATTTTAGGAACTGTGGAATTTATAATGGACAGTGCACATAATTTCTATTTTATGGAAATGAATACCAGGCTGCAAGTGGAGCACCCGGTTACTGAGATGATCACAGGGACTGACTTGGTGGAATGGCAACTGAAGGTAAGAAATAAGAGCAAGAGTGTCTAGCGGATTCTCAAGAAGCAAGATTGTTCTTTCACCTGGGGCAATTCATTATATTCTTTTTGTCTAAATCAGTGTTGTCCAAACTTGGCCACTTTAAGATGAGTGGCCTTCAACCCCCAGAATCCCCCAGCCAGCATGGGGAAGTGGAAGCCCACTGGGAGTTGAAGTCCACTCATCTTAAAGTGGCCAAGTTTGGACAACACTGGTCTAAATGTTCAGGGAAGAAGATATGGAATTATTTTTTTCTTCTTAGGCTTGGGCAGAAGGTGGCACTGTGCATATTCATACTCCCCCATGTATGCACATACCGTCACACATGCATCCTTATGGAGATCAAGGATGGAAAGATTAACTGGTCTGCAATATCACTGGGGCACCGGGTGGGGAAAGCTTTGGGGGGCAGAATTCCACCCGTGGTCTTGAGAGGGTTCAGTTTTCCAATTGGAGGAGCAAGAATTGGGACAGAACAAGAGGATTTGGAAACGTTTAATGATTAGAGATTATCTGCAAGAGTTAGTTCAGGGAAGGAACTCGGCATCATGTGCTACCTGAGGGGCAGAAAATGTATTTCTAAGAGCAGGATTTTTTTCAGATTATTTTGCAAACATTTGAGTGATTGCTCTGTATTCAAAAAGCCATGTGGTTCTGTTTTATTTAAACCGTTAGCTGGACAGTTGATGTAACACTGGAGATTTTTTTGATGTGTACTATCAAACCTATCTTGAGATGAGTCTCTTGGTCTCTTAGACACACAGTACTCGATCTGAAATGAGTACTGGGGCAAAAGGTATTTCTCTTCCTACTAAAATCTATTAGAGGCTGAAACAGGCTAGAAGACTCATAAAAGATACACAATTAACTTAAAATCATTGATGCATTTCTACATCGAGCTGGAGAAGAACCGCTTAATAGGTCTATCTGAACCATTCATAGAAGGGAGAACTGGTTGAGCCCTGCCTTTCTATATTTCTCTAGCTCTCTTATAGCTCCAGTGACTTCAAAGTTACGTCCCTTTCTATGTTTTTTTCTCTTCTAATGTTTAATTAATGGTGCATATTTTATGCTTGAAAAATATTTTTGGCAGATAACTTGAGACAATTCCATCTGCTCCCCAAATCATAAAACACTCTTCTGTTAAACATGTAAGTATATTTTCCGGAGATAGATTTCCATAAAGTAGTTCTCTTAAGCTCTGGGATATTTGTTCAGAGTTGTCTTTAACTTTTTGGAGTTCTACCTATTTAACAAGAAGTCTGGGACTCAAACATTCCTCATTATATAGTCCTTCCAGCTTTGAGTTCCTCTGGAAATGCTGTCTTTTAATGGTAGACAGAGTTAGAGGAAACAATTTAGTGCAGGTTTCTTTCTACCAAACTAGCTTCTTCCCAAGTTTTTCATATCCTTGGCCTGTCACCAAATACTTTTTCTTGAAGTTTTCTTTCATTCAAATTTACTAATATTCTAATCCAAATTTTGCAGGTTGCAGTTCCTTGATCTTGTATTAACTAAACTCTCGCGGAAGTTCCCCTCTTTATTTACCATATTATTTGTGATTTGATTATCATTACTGTCCCGAGAAAATGAACAATGCTGTTCTATACAGGTTGCTGCAGGAGAGAAGATTCCTCTGGCTCAGGAAGAGATTGTACCCAAGGGACATGCATTTGAAGCCAGGATCTATGCTGAAGATCCCGACAATAACTTCATGCCAGGGGCTGGACCCTTACTGCATTTGTCCACACCACCTGCTGACAGCTGCACCAGGATAGAAACTGGGGTAAGACAAGGTAAAATGAAACCCTGTCACTTGGACTGTCAGAAAATGTATTCTGGTTTTAAAGGTCCTGCTGATGATTTCCGTTGCTGGAACATGTGTCAGATGACCCACAGCGTTGGTTTCCCACTACTTGTACCAAATCAGGATCTCTCTTCTTTAAATGTCAAGGTTAAGCTTTATGGGCATCCTTGCCATCAGCTCTAATAGTATCTCTTACATGACTTTGATTTCAAAATGTTCTGCAGTTTTTAAGTAGAACCTCAGTAGTGTACTTCTGTGAGGTATGCATCGGAGCATCATTGTTAACCTAGAATGAATCTTTCTAGTGTCAACCTTACAGTTGATATTGTAAATCTAGAATAGAATCTATACTTTCAAGCTGCAGGACATTCATACTGAATTGTGGGTAGCTTGCTATGAAAGCGTGGCTTAGTTTATTGCAAATGTCCTAAACGGAGACAACTTGAGAAATGAACTGGCTCCATCTTCAGGTATTTATTCTGGCAAATCGTTCTTCCGTATGTTTCTCTTTCAGGGGATGAGGTTTCTATACACTACGATCCGATGATTGCTAAATTAGTTGTTTGGGCAGAGGACCGCCAAGCTGCTTTAAGGAAATTAAGATACTGCCTTCGACAATATAATGTAAGTGTAAAACTCTGTTAGGTTTTAAAGTGGCAAATCTGATAAAGCATTTTCCAGATTTCCCCTGGCTAAGGCTATCAGGCATGTAGGGGCTATAACTCCCAGAATTATCAGCCAAGATAATTGGTAATGAGGCCCAGCATTACGTTGGAAAACAGCGAATTGGGGAAGGCTGGTGTATGTAGTATTATTTTGTGGTTGAGTCTTTGGGCATTAGCAAGTAGGTGTGTGTGTGAGTGTGTGTTTGTATTTGTGCCTTTGAGTCAGTTTTGACTGCCTGGACTAGTCCCTGCAGTTTTCTTGGCACAGTTTTTCAGAAGTGGTTTGCCATTGCCTCCTCCTTCCTAGGGCTGAGAGAGAGTGTCTGGCCCAAAGTCACCCAGCTGGTTTTGTGCCTAAGGCAGGACTAGAACTCACGGTCTCCTGGTTTCCAGCCTGTTGCCTCAACCACTACACAAAACTGGCTCTCCAGATGTAGTTTCACAAAATCTCACCACTGCAATAGGAGACAGCCAGGAATTGGGTTGGGGGAAACCATCCTGAGACATTGTTAATTGATTGGCCAGAGACTCAAGTCATGCCCTGTAGGAATGTGAAGCCGTATCTGGTTCTGTCGTTTGATTAGTGTGGTCTCCTTTCTCCCCTCTCCCATCTTTGCAATCCCAAAATTTGGTCCTGTTTTCCCCTGCCACTCAGTGCTGAGCACCCCTTCTGAATATCCATCCTTGAGAGATTTCCCAAAGAAATATGGAAGACTTTGGAATATAGCAGCAGACTTTGGCATTGAGATTTACCCCATTCATTTTAACATTCCAAAAGTTGCTTAAGACCAAACTTTTCTGCAGATTGGAGATTAATTAACTGTCACCATCTTAGCCTATTTTCATTTTCAAATTAATTCCTTTATTTTGCTTTTGAACCTTGCTGGTAGACTTCTATCTCTTTGTTATTATTATTATGGTATATTTTATGTAACTATTGCTTGCTTAATTTTTTTTTTTTTTACTGTGGATATTTTAATTGTTTGGTTGTGTACATGTGTGGTTATAAACTGCCATGAGGCTTTATCGATTTGACAGTACGCAAGTTGAATCAATGAATTAATCAATCTTTCAGTCTTGGACTGCTGCAGATTTATTCGTTTGAAGGAAGGATCAGAGGGTGCCTGTTGATTTGCCTTTCTCGGGGGCGTCTCTTCTTCACTTGACAGATTGTAGGGCTGAGTACCAATGTGGATTTCTTACTGAATCTCTCGGCCCATCCGGAGTTTGAGGCTGGGAATGTTCATACTAATTTTATCCCTCAACACTACGAAGAGCTCTTTCCACCAAAACGGGCAATTTCAAAAGTGACTTTGTGCCAGGCAGCTCTTGGGCTCATTCTGAAAGAGAATGTCATGACAGATACCTTTAGACTCCAGTCAGAAGGTAAGAAAGCTGCAGCTTTTCCTCTTTTGTTAGTGAAGAAGATGCTTTATATATTACTTGCATACAATGTTCATCAGTGCTTTTCAACCTTGGCAGCCTTTATAAATTGAGTGGTGTGCCCCCGCACACACAAAACCCTAAAAACCCTGACGGACCTC